GTGGGATCCTTCCGGACTGGGGATAGAACCTATTTCTCCTGCATTGGCAGGTGGATTCTTAACCACTGGACCACCAGGAAAGTCCTGAAGTCTCCTTTAATCCATATTGTTTGTAACTTTGTGAATAAGAGAAACGTGTAGGCAGCTTTGAAAAGGGAATTTATTATACAGATGCATCAGTACCTTATGGAGCCCAAGTTGGGTAAGCAGTCAGACCCCGGGAAGGATGAGAACTGGGAGTGGAAGGCCGCCGAGAACCCTGGAGGACACTTTTTTCACCCCTAATGTTTTTCTCCAGGCATCTGCTTCCCTCTTATTTCTGAGCAGCTAGACTTCTCCGCTTTACAGTCTGAGGCCATGGTGGCCCCTGGAGCTCTCAGATTTCCATGGTATTCATTCAGATTCTCAGAAGGAAATGGATTCCTCCTTGATCCACCCCACCTCACCCTGGGGAAATGTCTGCTGGGTCTGCACCATGCTTGTTTCTGAACCCAAGTCAGGACAAGCCTCTGCGGTATAAGCCTGGCTGCTGTGGGAACCACAGTTTGGGAAAGGAAAGCCAGAAAGGAACTTCTCTGAGTTTAGCTCTGAGCAGATGCTGCTCAGAACAGCTGAGGGTGTGACTGTGACCACAGATCTGTTGAGGTCCTTCATGGTCCCCCTTGGATCTATGAGGACAAATTCTTTTCTGCTCAGTACACTTTCCGCCTTTTATTTGAGGAAACTGCTCCTTCCCCATTCCATGCAAGTCTGGTGGGATACAGTATTTGTTCCTTCGTGACTAGCTTATTCCACTTAGCCCAGTGTCCTCAGGGTTTATTCATGTTGTACCATGTGTCAGACCTTTCTTCCTATTTAAAGCTCCATAGTGTTCCATTGTATGGATATGCCATATTTTGCTTATCCATTCGTTTGTTGATGGATATTTGGGTTGGTTCTACCTTTTGGCTACTGTGGATAATGCTGCTATGGACATAAGTGTATAAACACCACTTAACACCCTGCTTTAAATTCTTTTGAGTATATATGCAGTAGAATTGCTGGCCCATGTGATAATTCTTCATTTAATTTTTTGAGGAACTGATACACTGTTTTTCACAACTGTACTATTTTTACAGTCCCACTAACAGACAGGTTTTCAATTTCTCCACATCCTCACCAGTTACTTTCTGTTTTTTGGATAGTAGCCATCTTATGGGTGTGAGGTGGTATCTCATTGTAATTTTGATTTGCATCTCCCTAAATGATTTAAGGATGTTGAGCATATTTTAGTGGGCTTTTGGCCACTTGCATATTTTCTTCGGAGATTTCTGTTGAATTTCCACTTAAATATTAGCTACGTAACTACATTACCCATTTTTGAATTAGGTAGTTTGTGTTGTGTTGTTGAGTTCTAGTTCTTCATATGTTCTGGCTGTGAAACCATTATCAGATATATGATTTGTATATATTTTCACCCATTCCATGGGTTGCCTTTTCACGCTATGGATTGTGTCCTTTTATGTACAGAAGTTTTTTATTTTGATGTAGCCCAACTGATCTATTTTTTCTTTTGTCATCATATCCAAGTCAAATTAAGAAATTATTGTCAAATTCAATTCATAAAGTTACCCCCTATGTTTTCTTCTAAGAGTTTTATAGTTTTAGCCCTTATGTTTAGGTCTTTGATCCATTCTGAGTTTATTTTTGTAAATGGTATAATAAATGTCCAACTTCATTCTTTTCCATGTCAATATCCAGTTTTTCCCAGCACCATTTGCTGAAATGACTATCCTTTCCCATTGAATGGTTTTGCCACCCTTGTTGAAAATCATCCGACCACATATGCAAGTTTATTTTTTGGCTCTCTATGTTATTACATTGGCCTATGTGTCTGTCTTTATGCCAGTACCACATTGTTTTGATTACTTTAGCTTTGTAGAAAGTTTTGAAATCAGCAACTATGAGACCTCCAACTTTCTTCTTTTTCAGGATTGTTTTTGGTTATTTGGAGTTCATTGAATTTTATGGCAGATTTTTCTATTACTGTAAAAATCACCATTGAGATTTTGATAAGATTGCATTGAATCTATAGATTGCTTTGGATAATACTGACGTCTTAACTATATTAATTTTTCCCATCCATAAATATGAGATGTCTTTTCATTTATTTGTATCTTTTAAATTTCTTTCAGCAATATTTTGTACTTTTAAGTGTACAAAAATTTTGCCTCTTTAGTTAATTTAATTCCTAAGTATATCATTCTTTTTGATGCTATTACAAGTGGAATTGTTTTCATAATCTTTTTCACATAGTTCATTTTTGGTACATTATAAATATAACTGATTTTTTAGTATATTTTATATTCTTCAACTTTTTTGAATTCACTTATTATTAGTTCTGACAGTTTATTTTGTATTTGTGTGTAATCTTTAGGGTTATCTTGATATAAGATCATGTCATATAAGAACAAAGATAAACCTTTTATTTTCTTTTTCTTGGCTAGTTGCTCTCACTAGATGTCTAGTACTATGTTGAATAGAAGTGGTGAAAGTGGGCATCCTCTCCTCTTGGGACTCCAGTGACACAAATTTTATATCTTTTGCTATTGTCCCATAGGTCCTGATACTCTATTTTTTTTTTTTTTAAGAAAACTATATTCAGGACTTCCCTGGTAATCCAATGGTTAAGGCAGAGGGTGTGGGTTCAATCCCTGGTTGAAGAACTAAGATCCCAGAAGCCATGTGGCACTGCCAAAAAGAAAAAAAAATTAAATAAAACTGTTTTCTCTTTCTTATTCAAATTAAATAATTTTATCAACTATCTGAAACTTCACTGATCCTTTTCTCTATATTTTCTTTTCTGCCCTTGAGCTCATCCAGTGTTATTTTTGTTATTTGTTTGTTTGCCTTGGTTGTGAAAGCTTTCATTTCTAAAAGTTCCATTTGGTTCTACTACATATCTATTGTTCCTTTGCTGATTTTTTTTACTTTTTCCATTTGCCTAGAGTTCTTGTAATTGCTTGTTGAAGTGTTTATATAACTGCTTTAAAATCCTTGTCAGATAATTTCAACCTCTATGTCATCTCAGTACAAAGTGTCTGTTGATTATCTTTTCCCATTTGAGTTGAGATTTTCTTGACTCTTGGTATGAGTAATTTTGGACTGTATCCTGGACATTTTGAGAACAAGGTTAGGAGACTCTCCTTTTCATATATTTTAATAGGCAGTCAATCTATTTATGTTAAATATGCATGTCCTGGCCCACTTTTGTGGGCTATGTTTTAAATATCAATTACTTTTCAAAGCCTTTGCAGTGCTTTTGTGGTCTGTTGCTTGTGTGGTACCCAGAGGTCAATTTGAAACCTATGCCATTCCATGCCGTAGTTTAGTTATCAAAGTTTTTGCTGTTTGGTCCTGATCAGTTTGATAAATGGGTTGTGTACAGGACTTCATACCCAGATTGAAAGCATCCCATTCTGCTATGGACTGCAGTGTCCTCACTATCCCCAAAATCCTACCCCTTCCCAAATTCATATCCTGAAGTCCTAACCCTTCATAGAGAAAGGTATTTAGAAATGAGGCCTCTGGGGGGTTATTAGGTTTAGATAAGGTCATGCAGGTGGGGCCCTCATGGTTGGATTAGTGTCCTTGTAAGAAGAGACACCAGGCTTTCCTGGTGGCTCGGTGATCAAGAACCTGCCTGCCAATACAGGAGACACAGATTCGATCCTTGGGTCAGGAAGATCTCCTGGAGAAGGAAATGGCAACCCACTCCAGTATTCTTGCCTGGGAAATCCCATGGACAGATGAGCCTGGCGGGCCACAGTCCATGGAGTCACAGAGTCGGACACGACTTAGCTACTAAACAACAACAAGAAGAGACACCTGAGAGCTTGTTCTTTCCCTTCCTCTCTCACCCTCTCTCTCTCCCTTCCTCTCTCCTATGCCATGTGAGGACATAGTGAGAAGTGGCTATCTATAAGACATCAAAGAGCTGTCATCAGAAACTAACCATGCGGCCACTTTGATCTTGGACTTCAAGTGTCTAGTACGGTGAGAAAAGGCACTCATGCTTCTCTCCCCACTTCTTTCCCCCTAGTCGTTGTTGCCAGGGCACTGAGGATTTCGTGTGAGCCTTCTTGCCTCTTGAGAGGCATCTGCAGAAGGTTGGCTTTCCTTCCCACCCTTGTCCTGCCATCTTTCTGTGCAAAGTAATCCTCCTGAACCATGTCCGTTGTGGCACTCCCCTGGCCAACACCCTTCAGTTGCGCCCTTCAGTGGCTGGCCCTTGGGAAAAGCTCAGATGCTCAGCCAGCAAGGCCCCGAATGCTGATTTCTTCAGATTCAGCTCTTGCTACATTTTCTCCTCACTCCCATTCTAGCTTAGCTAAATGTATTCCCTCAAGACATCCAGGACCTGAGTCCTGAATTTCACCTTCACTAGATCATGCTTAGGTGGGCTTAACTAACCTGTTCTTAAGAAGCCCTCTTTCGGCCAGAATGGGTCTCCATATCAGGTGGGCATCTTTGCTGCTGTGGCTCCCAGTGTTATTTAGTTCTTCATACTTATTACCTTGGTTTTTCTGCTCTCTTCTTCCCTAGATTTGTAGCCTCCAGAGCCATCACTTCTGTTTTTTTTTTTTTTTTTTTTTCTGCTGTATTTATAGCACAGTGCTGGGCATGTGATGAGTCAGAAAATCCACAACAAATTTTCACCTGCATTTTCTGCCTCACTTGATTGCATTTACATTCCAGCAGCAGCATTTTGCAGTTCGTGATGGTAGGCCTTTGCTTCTAAGAGCCTCCCAGACAGAGCCTGCAAGTTCTGTCTTTTCTTCTCCTTCTTTTTAACTTCTATTTCCCTCTTAGGGGCTTTCCTGGTGGCTCAGGCAATAAAGAACATGCCTGTAATGCAGTAGACCAGGTTCAATCCCTGGATCAGGAAGATCCCCTGGAGAAGGGAATGGTACCCACTCCAGTATTCTTGCTTGGAGAATTCCATGCACAGAGGAGCCTGGTGGGCTACAGTCCATGGAGTAGTGACACAGCTACGACTAAGTGACTAACGCTTTCACTTTCCCTCTCATATCCAACAAAAATTCATCTTTCATCAGAATGCTCTCAATGATCCCAACTGAGATTCGTGGTTTATTCATAGAATTGAATCCCAGGTTGAATGAGAGACCATGGCAGGGAGAAGGGCTCTAAGCCCTGTTTCCTGTATCATATAAGTGTAATCTGAGGAAATGCTCCCCTAACTCTCCTTGTCTCCCATTGAGATGGTGATTCCTATCTGGGTCCCCTGGGGATGTTAATGGAAGCGCTTTGTGATACATCAGGGCGTTTAGAGGACTGGAACACCTCACTTTCTCTGTTCAGAATTGCCTTGCCTCGCTCTCTGTGTCTCCTGGTAGCACTGCTGCTTGACTATGTAAGGCTTTGCAGGTGCTCGCTGCCTACAACTGTCAGGTACTTTACAACATATATCTATCTCTCTGCTCCTTTGCCCTGTTTGGGAAGTGCACCAGGCCTAGTTATAATTTTCACTTTAAGAAGCAGCAACCCTGTAAAGAGCTCTGAGAGATAGCTGGGCAGTGACAATGATATTTCAAAGTCCAGAATCTATGTGACAGACACTTTGTTTGGGTGGCAAGATACACCTTAGCTGAGCTGCTGGCATGTGGAGATCTAAAGCAAGAAAATGAAGAGCATGTGGGACTTGCCTAGTGGTCCAGTGATTAAGGCTTCTCGCTTTCTCTGTGGGGTCGTGGATTTGATCCTAGTCAGGAGAACTAAGACCCTGCATGCCTGAATGGCCAAAACAAAGAGCACACATGCCAGCAATGGCATGTCAACCAAGTTATATTAAAATTATCCTAATCTTATTGAGTGGTTCTATGTGAACATGTTTTTGAATAAGCCAATTAAATTCATGTGAAGAAAACATAGTATTAGATCAATTAATTTATAAACCTTATACGAATGACTATTTACAATATTTTTATTGCTGCAGACAGGTGCATTTCTCTTATAAAAAGAAAACAAGAGAAAGGATTACATGATCTGTTTCTTAGGGGAAATGTGGAGCAAGACTACTGTGCAAATGTTTAAAGTATTGGGTTGGCCAAAGGTTCATTTGAGTTTTTCCATAAGATGTTATCAAAAAGCCTGAGTGAACTTTTTGGTCAACTCAGTATGACCGTAAAAATCATCACCCCCCCACCTCATGTGCTTAGAATTTCAAATATTGGGATTTCAAAATTAGAAGATAATAATATGGAAATAAGGTAAGCTGCATAGAGCTTTGATGTTAGATAATTCCATCTTTAGAGGTACAGGGAATAATATTCTGGCTCCCATGAAGAGAAGGCTATCTTGGCTAATAATTCCCACTCAGCACTGGAGAAGGATTCACAGGTAGATCCCCTCACAGGTGGGGGAAACAACGGTATGGGATATGTATGGTGTAGTAAAGGGACTAAGGGATTTGCACTGGCTTGTCCCGGCAGAATGACCTCAGTGCTTTGTATCCTCTTGTGTCAATGAAGCTCTTGGCCAACGTTAGCCTGCTTTTCTGTCTCATCTGGATTGCTGCGTAGTCTCAGCTTTGTTTCCACTTTCTGCTTCCATTCTTCCCTGAGCCTGAAAATAGAAACAAAATATACACAAATGGAGCATTCCTCTCCAGTGACTTTTGGTTCAGGGAAGCTCCTTTCCCTTTTATTCTGAAGGTGTTCTATGTATGCTTGTGTGTGTTCGGGTTTTAAAAGGTATGCAGAGGACTTGCAAATTTAAATATATACATATTTGAAATCTCCTTTCTATTTGAGCCCTCGTGGCTCAAATGGTAAAGCATCTGCCTACAATGCGGGAGACCCAGGTTTGATCCCTGGGTTGGGAAGATAACCTGGAGAAGGAAATGGCAACCCACTCCAGTACTCTTGCCTGGAAAATCCCATGAATGGAGGAGCCTGGTAGGTTACAGTGCATGGGGTCGCAAAGAGTCTGACATGACTGAATGACTTCACTTTCTTTCTTTCTTTCTATTTGAGCACTATTTTAGTCTTAATTTCTAAACTTTCCTTTGAAAGTGCAATATCTTTAAAGTACGGGGGGGGGAAGCCCTGCCAATCTAGAATTGTTTACCCAGCAAATCTATCTTTCAAAAACCAGAGGTGAGAAATAATTGTATTCATATGATTGCAGGGTTCTTACCCTCTACAGGAAGTGATGTATCACTTGAAGGTAGACTGTGATAAGTATATAAATCCTAAAGCAACCACAAGAATAACACACGGAGATATAGTTAAAAAGCCAATAGAGGAGACAAAATGGCTAGCATACATATGCCCCACAGCCCCTGGCTACACAATAGTTGTGAATAGACAGCAATTGAACTGTTCCCTCTGAGGGAACAGACAAGCTGGCCTGTCCTTTCCTGTGTCCTGTAGGTGATTCCCTGCAGTCATCGAGAGGCTGTGTATGTGAGGGTGGTGAAGTGCCACTGTTTCCAGAGACAGCAACCCAGGTCTGCTCACATGAGTCACTGCTCTCCACTCGACTTGCTTGGCTGGAACAGGGTTGCACGCCAGAGGGCCCAGAGCCTCCCAGAACCACGCAGGACATCCTGTGTCATTACCCAAATGAGCACTGAGCATTAATTGGTCATTGTCTCCTTTGTTTGATTGCTCTTCATGGATACATCTGTTGACATGCTCCACAAATTTAGTGTAACCCTCACACACTAGAAATGGTGACAGGAGAGATCTTTCTGGTTATAAAGATGAGAGCTGTGTACACTTGTTAACTTGGAAGAATTTCTTAAATTACTGCCCATAACCATAGATGGTGGCAGGACCACATGCAGGGAAAATTAAAATACATTGCATCCTCTAGGATTGGCATTTTTCTGGGGAAATAGATTTTGCTTTCAAAAAACACACAAGCAAAGGTCATTATGATGTGTCCATGTAGGTTCATGAATTGTAACAGAGTAGCCTCTGGTGGGGCATGTTGCTGGTGGGAGAGGCTGTGTGTAGGGGGATTTTGCTGTTAACCTAAAACCACCCTAAAAATCAAAGTTTATTTTTAAAAATTAATAATAAAAAAGTAGACAAGGCGCGTACTTTCTCAGTGCACTTCTTCCCAGGCGATGTTCTTCTGATTCTCGGTAGTAAGTCTGTTTGCCAATTTCCCTTTCCCAGAAGCGTTTGAGTTCGTGACAGGTGTTCCGGCAGAAGACCTCCCGGCGGACGTACTGATTGTTCATCCCCTGAAAAAGAAAATATCGACTGAATCCCCACAGAACATGCTCCCTTATACTCTGGAAGGTACATATCCTGCTGTTTAATACCTGACGGAGGCCTCAGTCAGGTTTTGTGCCTGACTGAGGTGGGACATACTGGTTTATTGATGGGATCCAGGGATGTGACTGCAGAAGCTCCCCGCTGAAGCATGTCACAAGTGAAGTGAAGGTCACTCAGTCCAACTCTTTGCGACTCCATAGACTATAGTCCATGGAATTCTCCAGGCCAGACTACTGGAGTGGGTAGCCTTTCCCTTCTCCAGGGGATCTTCCCAACCGGGGGATCGAACCCAGGTTTCCTGCATTGCAGGCGGATTCTTTACCAGCTGAGCCACAAGGGAAGCCCAAGAATACTGGAGTGGGTAGCCTATCCCTTCTCCAGCATCTGACAAATACCTCTGTCCTTCTTTCCCCCTCATAAATGAATGACTTCTCAGCTTTTTATCAGCAGGAAGTATGAGCCAGGCATTTTATGCTATTGGCCCATTTAGTTATCACATCTCCATGAGTCAATATCCCCTTCCTCATTTTCTAGGCGAGACATTTGAGGAGTGATTAAATTCGCTCGAGGTCTCATGGCTGTAACAGGCAGAAGGCAGTCTGCACACCTCTGAACATTTTCAGGCTCTTTACTAAAGAGATTTGTCACAGAAAATAGTTCCCACATCTGACACAACAGAGCAAGCAGCTCGGTGTGCACGTGCATGTGTGTACACGCACGTGTGTATATGCACGCTTGTGTGTGGAATCACACATGTCAGGTTATCAATAATGCTCATTGTTTACAAGAAGAGGCCACTGCCCAACTCCCAGACCTCGGTGGGTCCAGCAGACAGGTCAAAACAGGGGCTGAGGGGTGAGAGTGGGTGCAGGGAAAGGAGTTAACGGGCAACTGGAAATGTCCAGGGAGGAGCTAGGACCAGGTGGCAGAGGCAAGGGTAATGGAGGCATTCTGAAGAGGTCAACTCCACATGGTGAACAAAAGTGAGGGGTGTCAGTCGCGCTGCCCTGGCCATGCCTGTGCAAAGACGGGCAACCAGAGAAAGGATTGTGCAGAGCAACCCCGAGCAATGTTGGACAGAGGTTGAGTTGTCTGGGCGCTAACATCCAAGGGAACTACTGAAGGTGCCTGTGGATACGTGGTCTGGAATCAGCATGAAGTTCTGGATCACAGCTCTCCCAGAGGGACGGGCAAGGACACTAGGGCAGGATGGAGGTGAGACAGGTTTGAAACCAGATGTTTACTCCAGACCTATCAACTTGAGGCACCTGCTGTTTGCCAATAATTCTCCAGGTCTCAGTCTCCTCATCTTTAAAATTTCTCTGAAGATTAAATTTGATCATAAATATAAAAGTGTTTTGCAGTTTATGAGTTCTGATCTAAATACACAAAGCCTTTTGTAATTCTAAAACCTCAAATTGTACAGGATATAGGACAATAATTAGCAATAAGTAGTCATCGCAACCTCCCCCCAACTTTCTTGCTATAGACATAAAATAATTATACTTCTCTTTTCTTTCTGAATCAGTGTCTGTTGACCTTCACTGACCTTGGAGTGACTTGGGGAACTTGACAAAAAATGGATGCCAGGGATTCCTCCTTAAGGAGTCTAATTTCATCAGCCTTGAAAATGTACTAGGTGTCAGGATTTTTTAAAGTTCCTCCTGTGATTCTAAAGTGCAAGCCAAGGTGAGAACTCAGTCTTTGATCCTGTCCTCTTGTGTGTTGGTCATGTCTGTGTCCAGAGCTGGCTCCAGGGAGGCTGAGGTAGTGAAGGCTGGGCCTAGGTATGTCTCAGCAACAGCTGTCTTTCAGGGAAGACACTGTTTTACAGGTAAGGAGGTTGAGTAGCAATCTGACCTTATCAAGGTCATATAGGTGGTAAGTGAGGCAGCTGTCATACTCAGGGCCTGGGCCCCATTCCCTGCCCCAGCTGTCCCCTAAGAAGGAGGAGAGTGACTTTCTTATCTCCTGGAAATGCTCAGTGATCTCACACTTTCCTGACAAAAGAGCAGAGATCCAACTGTCCTTGCAGTAAGTTCCCAGAGCTTTTAGGAAATGAGATTATCCTATGTTTTACTTAAATATATTAAAATGTGTACTGGTGCTCAATAAATATTTGTTGAATAAATGCCCCCCCCTCCAAGTTATCTTTATCCTGAAGGTCTGGCCAGGAAGTGGCAGTGGTCCCTGTGGCAGTGCTTCAGGCACTGAGGGCCAGTCTGTGGGGCCAGTGAGGGGCACCCTGAGGTCACCTGGCCTGGCCTGAGGGCCTCGGGGTGCTTCCTAAGGGCGGGGACATGCAGGATGAGTAGGTAGGTGCACCCAGAGTGTGGGAAGTGGACTCCAGAGGCCTATGGTGAGAGTCCTGCAGAAACAGAGGGACAGAAGCAGATGGGGTGGCCTGGTAACTTATTCAGGTTGTGGAAATGTTTTATATCTTGTTTCTCATCATGGTGACACAGCTGTATCCAATGCTGAAACTTATCAATCTGTACACCTAAAACAGGTGAATTTTATTACACATAAGTTGTGTCTCAATAAATAAAGAAAAATTGTCTTCTATCTTTGGACCAGAGATTCATCCAAGTTCCCCAGCTCTAGCCTCCTGGGAGATTCAGCATCTCATTGTTAGGATTTAGCCCATTCCTTCAGGGATAATACACATTTCCAGGAACATTTGTGTTTTCTGGCTTCTAAAATGAGGACAACTACTCTATCTTGCAGAAATGTGACAAGGAAGATATCAGTAGTCGGAAAGTCCTTTGAAAATGTGGAGGATTGTCCTTGATGAATAAGTGACTATTTGTCTATATCTGCTCAGCCAACAATACCATCCACCAGACGGTGTTCTCAGGTGGCACAGTGGTAAAGAATCTCCCTGCCAATGCAGCAGACACAAGAGACACAGGTTCGATCCCTGGGTCAGGAAGGTCCCTTGGAGGTAGAAATAGGGCAACCCATTCCAGTATTCTTGCCTGAAAAATTCCACGAACAGAGGAGCCTGGCAGGCCACAGTTCTTGGGGTCACAAAGAGTCAGACATGACTGAACGACTGAGCACATAGCATTCCTGTCAAGAGACTCAATAGTATTCCTTCCAGTCAATCACCACCAACTCAGAAAAGCCATTAATTTCAATGACAATTATAAACTTTACTTCACAAAATTAATGCATGCTTAAAGAGAACAGCAGCATGTAACACCTTCATAGAATTCAGTTAAACAAAGTGTGTTGAATTTTTCACCATCCGTGAGGCATCAGTACTGCCCCAGGGGCCAACTGATCTTAGTGAGTCAGCTGAGACAAAGGCACATTTGCCCATTGTGAGTGCTAATTGCTGTGCCAATCATTTAACTTCCCAAGTCTCTGGTTACTCGGAATATAAAACGCAGATTGAGGGATGTGAGAGTTATGTCCATAGGAATACTATGACTCTCGGCTAGTTGTGGTTCATTGTGTCCCAGCTGACCGAGGAAATTCCAAGGTGAGGGAGCTTGGCAGCAGCAATGGAATGAATGGACCAGCAGCAGGGCCTACAGAGATGCAAAACCCACCAGCTCTGATAGGAGGAGCTGTGGTCCCACTGGGTGGAGCAGACACTCACTACTTTTCTCTCTGTCCTCTGAGCATGCTTTATTGACTATGCCAAAGCCTTTAACTATGTCGATCACAACAAACTGGAAAATTCTTAAAAGAGATGGGACTACCAGACCACCTGACCTGCCTCCTGAGAAATCTGTATTCGGGTCAAGAAGCAATAGTTAGAACTGAACGTGGAACAACAGGCTGGTTCCAAATCAGGAAAGGAGTACATCAAGGCTGTATATGGTCATGCTGCTTATTTAACTTATATGCAGAGTACATCATGAGAAACACTGGGCTGGATGAAGCACAGGCTGGAATCAAGATTGCCAGGAGAAATATCAATAACCTCAGATATGCAGATGACACCACCCTTATGGCAGAAAGCAAAGAAGAACTAAAGAGCCTCTTGATGAAAGTGAAAGAGGAGAGTGAAAAAGTTGGCTTAAAACTCAACATTCAGAAAACTAAGATCATGGAATCTGGTCCCATCACCTCATGGCAAATAGATGGGGAAACAGTGGAAACAGTGACAGATTTTATTTTTTTGGGCTCCAAAATCACTGCAGATGGTGACTGCAGCCATGAAATTAAAAGATACTTGCTCCTTAAAAGAAAAGTTATGACCAACCTAGACAACATATTAAAAAGCAGAGACATTATTTTGACAACAAAGGTCCGTCTAGTCAAAGCTATGATTTTTCTAGTAGTCATGTATGGATGTGAAAGTTGGACTATAAAGAAAGATGAGCACCGAAAAATTGATGCTTTTGAATTGTGGCGTTGGAGAAGACTCCTGAGAGTCCCTTGGACTGCAAGGAGATCCAACCAGTCCATCCTAAAGGAGATCAGTCCTGGGTGTTCAATGGAAGGAGTGATGTTGAAGCTGAAACTCCAATACTTTGGCCACCTCATGTGAAGAGTTGACTCCTTGGAAAAGACCCTAACGCTGGGAAGGATTGGGGGCAGGAGGAGAAGCAGACAACAGAGGATGAGATGGCTGGATGGCATCACCGACTTGATGGACATGGGTTTGGGTAGACTCCGGGAGTTGGTGATGGACAGGGAGGCCTGGTGTGCTGCGATTCATGGGGTCACAAAGAGTTGGACATGACTGAGCAACTGAACTGAACTGAATGTTAAGTCTTACTGTAAAGCTACAGTAATGAAGATGTGTGATTTCAGCAAAAAAAAAAAAAAAAAAAGGCCAAAAAAACACATCAAAGACATGTCTCGACAAAGTTTTGAAATGTGAAATACGTGAAAAAAAAAAGCAACCAGAAAATCCTCTAAGGCCCACACTGTATATAAAAATTAACTAATTATAGATCTAATATAAAATGTAAAACTATAAAACTTTTATTAAAGAGAAAAGCTAGTGGTTTTTTGTGTGTGTGTGTGACTTGGGGCTAGGTAAAGAATTCTTAGACATGACATAAAAAGCACACTCCATGAAAGGAAAAAAATTTCAATAAATTGGGCTTCATCAAAATTGGAAAGTTTTGCTCTCCAAAAGAGAATGAGAAGACGAGATACAAATTGAGAAAAAAATATTCGCAAATCGTGTTTTTGACAAAGGATTTGTGTCCAGAATATATGAAGAACTATCAAAACTCAGCAGTATGAAAGCAAACAACCCAAGTAAAAGATGGGGAAAGCACTTTAACAGACACTTCACCAAAGAGAATGAACAGATAACAAGTAAACATTAAAAGACGTTGAACATCATTAGCCACTAGGAAAATACAAATTAAATGAAAAGTGCAGAGATACCACTACATCCTTATAAGAATGGCCAAAATAAAAATTTATATATTGAAAATATCAAGTGCTAGAGAGGAGAGGTGTAGAGCAACTGGAACTGTCAATGTATGACTTGTCAAGTTAAACATATTCCCACCGTATGACCCATCAGTTCCACTCCTCGGTATTTAGCCTAGAGAAATGCAAACCATGGCTTCCCAGGTGGCTCAGTGGTAAAGAATCCACCCGCCAATGTAGAAGAAGCAAGTTCGATCCCTGGGTTGGGAAGCTCCCCTGGAGAAGGAAATGGCAACCCACTCCAACATTCTTGCCTGGGAAATCCCATGGACAGAGGAGCCTGGCCGGCTATAGTCTATGGGGTTGCAAAAATGTCAGACACAACTTAGCAACTCACCAACCAACAACAATGAATGTAAACTAATGTTCTAGTAAAAATCTGTACACCTATACACAGTTCTATTTTTCATGCCTAAAAGTGGAGACAACCAACAGTCTTTGAATGTGTGAATAACTGTTGAACATCTGTAGGATGAAATACTGTGCAGTAATAAAAAAAGAATACTGTTGATATTTTCAATAACTTGGATGAACCTCAAAGGCATTCATGTTGAGTGAAAGAAGCCAGTCTCAATAGACTATATACCCTTTATAATTCCATTTATACAACATTCTTGAAAAGACAAGCCTATAATAATTGCTTGGGGTTAGAGATGGGGGAGAGCATAACTTCAAAGCCAGAGCATGAAGAAATTAGGGGTAGGGGTGATGGAATTGTTCTGTATCCCGACTGTGGTGGTAGTTCCACAGAGATGAATATGTGATAAATTCTTAGACCTGAGCACGCACAGAAGAGTCATTTTGCTCTATGTTAACATACAAATCAAAATTTAAAAATAGAACAGAACTGTTTTTGATTTTTCACTGATTTGATAAGATTCAGTCATTGAAAAGTCTAAAGATTATTTATGATCCCTGAAACATCACAGAACCTTCCCAATTGTTGCATGGACCAGCTGCACTGGTATCACCTAGGAGTTGTTATGAATGCAGAGTTTATCAAGACCAAAATCTGAATCAAAATCTGCATTTTAATCTGATCCCTAGATGATTCATGCACATAGGGAAGTTTAAGAAGCTCAGCTTCAGAATTACAAAGACCAGAATTTAGTACATCCTCTTAAGCATCAGTCTTCTGAGGAGCCCGCTATAATTGAGCATCTCTATTTGAACGGATGTTGATTCCACTGAGGTTTAGCATCTCCCCTTCAATATGCACTGTTTTTGTTTACAGGATTTCATCTTATCAGAGCCTTGTTAAATGAACACTGGTATGGATTTCTGGTTCTCTCACAGAGCAGTTTTGAATGCATTACTTAAATATATAAACTACATATGGAAAAGTCCTGTTGAGATTTCTAAGCAGTGGAATTCCACCATTCCCAAACAGGTGTAAGGTGAGAGTTCAGAGGGAAAGATGAACCCCAGTGGCTGAAAAAGACAGGGTTACAAGAACTCTCTCCATTCACTTCCCCTCGAGAAGTGCAAGATGAACTTTCATCCCACCTACACTCAAGTTCAACATCATTTACCTTTGTGATGAATCTGCTGCTGTCTTGATACAGTGTCAAGGAGGGTGAGTATTGCAGCTAGGGTTTGCAACAGCCCCAGTCTGGTCCTGAAACCTTGGGGCATCAACCCTTTATATGTGGAAGGGAGGTGTTTCAGAAACAACTCAGCCTTTCAAGGTTACAGGCACCAAATTAGTAGCAGAATCACAGAGATATCATTCCAGGCACACGATGACCTCCTTCCTGGTGAAAAATAGCCCCCATCGCCTGTTCCCCCTACCCACCCCAGGGCAGGTAAGCTTCTGCTTGGGCAGGCCCTGCAGGAACCATGACTTGGCTGGAACCAGAGTTATTGTGCAAAATATGCTCTGGATTATGCATGAGCTTGAACCTGCTGTGCATCAGGTTGGCCTCAGCCCTTCAGAGAGTAAACGAGCCCAGGATGGTGTGACAAGCCACACTTTGGGGTCACTTTACAGGATGACTTGGAGATGTGTGCTGCCCTTTGGAGCTGCTAATCCACTCGGGGCGCTTGGTGATGACATTTCACAGTTTGCTTACTTCTCCCCCAGCGGGAGCAGGAACTGGATACCGATGACCCTCTTCCAGCAAAGGCATTAAACTGAGAAGGGCTTTTCAGTTGAAAGGGGCCTTCAAGCAATTTCAAGGAGCTTGTTGTGTTCTTGGGTTAAACATCTGACATGGTCCCTATCTGAGGACAGTCAGGTCATCATCAGAACCTGCTGGGCTACTAGTAAGCGTGCTTATAACTTAGTTATATGAGTGTCAGTGTCAAAGCTCAAGCCTCCACTGTAAAATCCGAGGGCAGTGAAGCAAGTGGAATTGCTGATGTTCAATCTGCAGAGGTATTCTAATAAATCTTTTCTCTCCTATTGTGAATGCCTCTTGGAATGGCAGAACCAGATCATGCAGTGGAGGTTTTCTCATCAGGGGAAGAAGGCGCTACCCCTCAAAGCATCCATCACCTATTCAAAACAATAGCAACAGCAACGCTGATATCACTGGACTGTATGTAAAGGTAAAGATACCCATTTTGCTTTTACTGTTTTTCTGCTGATACCTGTTATATGCAAACAGAGAGGATAGGATAAAAAAGCTATTAAAATATTTCTTCTGTAAGTTTTTAACTCCATTTTCCTCTTTAAAAGAAATCCACAATGGAACGATATTTAATAGGTGAAAGATTGTCTTGAAAGTTTTTTTTAAACTGACATGCTATATGCATATATTCCTCAGACTTTAGACAAACCATTAGCAAGTCCTCTAAGAAAAAATGTATCAAACTGAGCTTCTGAAGAGTTGCTGCTCCTCTGGTGTTCACAAGTGATCTGAAAAACCCACTTAAGGCCCTAGCATGGAATTTCACAACCTCCATAATTCGTTTACTCCACAGGACACACATTTCTGATTTTCGTAGTTTGAGTTTTGAATTGACAACACAGAGTCGAAAGATTGACAGACCCATGTGACCCAGGACATTGCTGAACCACTGAATTCACCAACCCGAGAGGCTTCCAGCCTTAGGAAACCATAATAAGTGAGAACATGAATTTCCTTTATGGTCCTAAGTCAGTTGAGATGTTCTTTCACATCTTTTTCCCTAGAATATAATCTATTCTTTCTCTTTTCCTGTTCTTTCTGAATTTTCCCCCTCCTCATATTTCTGGTAAGGTTTCCATGCACACTGGCTCAGACATGCACATGGCAAAGGGCATACACTTGGAGGCTCTGGGCTTCCCTGATAGCTCAGCTGGTAAAGAATCCGCCTGCAATGTGGGAGACCTGGGTTCAATCCCTGGGTTAGGAAGATCCCCTGGAGAAAGGAATGGCTATCCATTCCAGTATTCTGGCCTGGAGAAGTCTGGCCTGGGTCGCAAAGAGTAGGACACGACTGAGTGACTTTCACTTTCACTTTCTTTTGGAGGCTCTGGATTTGAATCTCAGCTCTGTCACTAGTTGATTCACACTGGTTAAGTAGTTTGGTTAAGTCTCAGCTTCTTCATTGTAAAAGAGGAATGATAAAACCTATAGAGAGGGACTTCCCTGGTGGTCCAGTGGCTAAGACTCTGAGCTCCTAATGCAGAGCACCTGGGTTTGATCCCTGGTCAGCAAACTAGATCCCACATGCCGTGGCTAAAGATCCCACATTCCACAATTAAGACCTGGCACAGCCAAATAAATGAATAAATAAATATATATTTAAAAAACCTGTAGAGAGATATAATAATGGTAAATAATTGTTTTATCATATCATAAATAAAGACTAATGTTTATTAACTCTTTTTAGGTGTCTGGTACTGTTCTAAGCTTTATAGGTACAAACACAGTATGCTACACCTAAGACTGGTGACTATCGTCACTCCCACTTCATAGATAAGACCGTGGCACAAAAGGGTAAGCATCTTATCTGAGGTCATATCGACAGTAAGTGACAGATTGGGGTTTGAACCCAATCAGCGTGACTTTAAAGCCCTTAATCCATCATGAGCTCCAGCATTGTTAAAGGTCACACCCAGATTTCTCTGGGTCTCTGCCCTGTGCTTCCATCATCTGTTCCCCAGTGATAAGTTACATGGGGATGGGGGTTGAAACTTCATGCAAAGCTGTGGGGCTGCTGGATAAAGTGAGAGGAGAGGACAGCACTCAAGCCAGACCCCCCATCCCCCAGGGGACATCTCTTGGGTACCAAGGTCATGTCAGTACCAGCAGGGCAGCTCATAGAGACTCTGTTGGGGACTTGCTGTTTTCTTCATTTGAAATGTTTATTTTGAATAATTCTAGATTCACAGGGAATTACAAAGAGATGTACAGGGTGGTACTGCACACCCTCCACCCAGTTTCCTCCAGAGTTAGCACCTGGTATAGCCACAGTACAAGAGCAAAACCAGGAAATACACTGGTACCATCCACAGAGCTTCTTCAGGTTCCCCTGGTTTCACAAGCACTTGGTGTGTGTGTAACTCTGTGTAGTTTTATATGTGCAGATTTGCACATTTACCATCACAGTCAAGATACAAACTTGTTCCATGGTACGGATCCCCTGTGTTTTCCTTTTATACTCACAGCCACTTCCCTCCTTCCTTCCCCCGCAACCTCTGCCAACCACTAATTTTTCCTTCATCTCTGCAATTTTGTCATTTCAGTAATGCTATATACTGCAGAAACCATGCAGTGTGAACTTTTGAGGTTGACTTTTTGCATTCAGATTTCCTTGAGATCCCTTTAAGCTGTTGTGTGTATCAGCAGTTTGTTCCTCTGCATTGCTCAGTAGTAGCCCATGATGTGAATGCATCAGCTTCTTTCATTATTTACCTACTGAAGGATGTTTTGATTGTTTCCAGTTTTCTGGATATTATACCCAAAGCTTCTATGAACATCCATGTACAGGCTTTTTGAGAACAGACAAAAATCCTTCTCTGGAATAAATACCCAAGAGTTCAATTGCTGGGTCATATGGTAAGTATTTGGGCTTCCCTGGTAGGTTGCCTGGTAAAGAATCTGCCTGCAATGTGGGAGACCCTGGTTCAGTTCCTGGGTTGGAAAGACCCCCTGGGGACGGGACAGGCTACCCACTCCAATATCCTTGGGATTCCCTGGTGGCTCAGTTGTTAAAGGATCTACCTGAAATGCAGGAGACCTAGGTTCCATCCCTGGGTTGGGAAAGTCCGCTGGAGGAGGGCATGGCAACCCACTCCAGTATTCTTGCCTGGAGAATCCCCATGGACAGAGGAGCCTGGTGGGCTACAGTCTATGGTGTTGCATGAAGTCAGACACGACTAAGCGACTAAGCACAGGTCAGTCCATGGTAAGAGTTAATACAAGTTTAGATTTTTAGGAAACTGCAAAACTACCTTGCTTTGTTTTTTAAAACTATTCTTTTTAAAATAATTTCACACAACAGAAATTTTGTTAAGAAGGAATAGTACAAAGAGTTTCATACCGTCACCAAGATTAACCAAATGTTAATTTTGCAACATTTGCTATAGCATTTCCTACATCTCTCTCTTTCTTTCTCTCTACCTATCATCTGTCTCTATCCATCCATCCATCCATCCATCCATCCATCCATCCATCCATCATCTCATTTCTGGACTGTTTTAAAGTAAGCTGCATATATCACGTCATTTTCCTCTTTGTTGTTGTTGAGTCACTAAGTCATGTCTGACTCTTTGTGGCCCCATGGACTGAACCACACCAGGCTTTCCTGTCCTTCACTATCTCCCAGAGTTTGCTCAAACTCATGTCCATTGAGTCAGTGATGCCATCCAACCATCTCATCCTCTGTTGCCCCCCTCTCTTCTTGCCCTCAATCTTTACCAGCATTAGGTTCTTTTGCAGTGACTAGGTTGTTCATATCAGATGGCCAAAGTACTAGAGCTTCAGCTTCAGCACCAGTTCTTCCAGTGATTATTCAGGGTTGATTTCCTTTAGGATTGACTGGTTTGATCTCCTTATAGTCCAAGGCACTCTCAAGAGTCATTTTCCTCCTAAATACTTCATATTTCAGTGTGTATTTCCTAAGAACAAGGACATTCACTTACATAACCACCATATAGTGGTCAAAATGAGGAAATTTAACAATTAACAATTATTATCTCAAACACATGTTTTTCAGATTTTTCTCAATGCAACTGATACCAGTTCGCCCCCCTGAAATCCAATCCAAGATCATACAGACACTGCATTCACTTGTCATGTCTCCTTGATCTCCATCAATCTGGAAAAATTGCTCATCCTTTTAATTTAATTAACTAATTAATTTAGGTCTTTTGTGACAGTGACAGTTTTTAATACCATAGGTCAGTATTTTGTAGAATACCCTTCAGCTTGGCTTTGTGTGATATCTTGTCATCATTAGAATCAGATTATGGATTTTTGGCTTAAGTGCCACTGAAGTGATGTTTCCTGTTCAGGGCACCCTAGCAGGAGGCACAGATAGCCATTTGTTCCATGTTGGTGGTATCAGTGTTGATCATTGATTAACATAGTATCTGCCGGTTTTATCCACTGTAAAGCTATTATTTCTCCCTTTATTTATAAGTATTTTGCGGGGAACTAATATGAGACTATTTATATCTTGGTGCTCATCAAACTATCAGCCTCTAGGTTTAGCATTCACTGATGACTCCTGCCTGCAACATTTTTTTTATAATAATAAACATTTTTATAAATCTAATTCGATCTTTCCTTCTACATGTATTAGCTGGCATTCTACAGTAGTGTTTGCTCTTCTCAACTATCCGTCTGTCTGTTGGTCAGTCTAGGTACTGTCAGTATGGACTCATGGATTATTATTTGAGTCACTGGATTATAATCTGTTATTACCATTTTTTACTTCAGTGCCCAGACTATTGCAGATTTGGCGAGGGGTAGCCTCTTCAAGCTGGCTTCTATGTTTTTTGACACATCCCCATCCTCCCCTGGTGGCTCAGACAGTAAAGAATCTGCCTGCGATGCAGGAGATCTAGGTTCAATCCCTGGGTTGGGAAGATTCCCCCAGAGAAGGGAATGGCTACCCACACCAGTATTCTTGCCTGGAAAATCCCATGGACAGAGGAGCCTGGCAGGCTATAGTCCATGGAATTGCAAAGAGTCTGACATGACTGAGCGACTGACAACAAAAACAACATCCTTCTTGAGGCCTTCCTTACTTTTTGGCACAAGATGTCCCAGGCTTATCTTGTACCTTTCCTGCCCCAGTCCTGGTATCAGCCACTTCTCTTTGAAGCCCTAACTCCTTTTATTGAGAAAAGTGTTGATGCAACATGACCAGTGTGCTGGGTGTGCCTATTGCATTGGAGGGGTCACAGCTTCTGAGCCCTCTCAGCATCTGGGTTTTGAGCTTTCTGAAGTTGAAAAATTAGGGGGATGCTGTATAACCTGATGCTGTTTGATTGGTTTCTCGTTGTATTCATTCCTAAGACAGCCCCATACACTGGAAATGGGATGTTTTCTGAGTTGAGGGTTGGAACAATGCCCTCAGGGCTAGGCTTGGCCTAGCAGGGCAGCTGTGAGAGTTAAACGGCTAAAGCAGTCCTTGGAGGACAGGAGAGAAGCCAGGGCCAAAGCCTGAGAAGACTCCCGAAACAGCCACCAGACAGAGCATTTGGAAAATGCAGCTGCTTTGCTCCTCACGTAGCTCCTGTCCCAGAGGAGACCCTGCTAGATGGAGATATTGTTGCTTCTGCTGTTGATTTTGTTGTCATTGTACACAACCTTTCTTAAAAATAAGGGATTTGTGCTGATTCAATTTTTGTCTCAAAATGGTGAAGGAGAATTCCAAGGGTTGCCAGAGCCCAGCTGGATTTTGTGATGTTGTGCTCAACATGGCACATACTCTTAGCTCTGAGACCTGAGTTATCAGATATGGTGGTGGGGATGGACAGAGAGAGAGCAAAATAAATAGCATGAAACCAGGACTCTCTGACAGAAGATAACTACCCAGGTTTAAAAACCCTCCTCCAAATGGGCCAAGGGAAACCCAGTTAGGAAGACCAGCCTGCATACCAGGTATCCTAATCATCAAGAGTCATTCTGCTCTAGGCCAGTGGGGACCTGGTCTAGCCAGCAGGCTCACAAATGGGACTTTGTGAGATCCTATTTATAAGGGACAGGGCTGTTTTACTAAGCTTGGGGGCTTCGTGGAAGCAAAAACGTTATGAATCATTGGTTAGAAGAGGGTTGGCAGAAAATATACTTGTAGCCCAGACCAAGGAAGTGGAAGAGTCCCCAGAAAGGGCCAGCCCTGACCTTTGCAATAGGGCTCTGAGAAGCCCCTCATTAGAGGAAAGTACTTTCATTCAGCGCCAAGATGCAAATACTGCCCCTCAACAATGTTAGGCTTTTTACAGGCAAGTTCAAGGTCAGTAAGGCAGAAATTGGGGGAGGCCAACACAGCCTCTTACTAACCTGGGTTTTGCAACACTGCAAGTATTTATATGGGTTGCATGATATTTCTGGCCCTTAATTCAGCTGCTTTTCTGGGATAAGCTCACTGGAGCAGGGAAGGCTTTCCTAGGGTTAGTAGCACTGAACTTTCCTGTTAAGAAAATGGTTGTCCCATTTTCTAATACTCCATGGACTGCCTTTCATTCCCTAAAAAAACTCACACTGCTTTACACATGACATATTAGTTATCCCATTATTTCATACTTGCAAAGAATGTAAAATTAATAAGATGATAAAATATTTAAATTTAAGTAGAGGAGACATTACTTTGTTACAAAGGTCTGTCTAGTCAAAGCTATGGTTTTTCCAGTAGTCATATATGGATGTGAAAGTTGGACCATAAAGAAAGCTGAGTGCCGAAGAATTGATGCTTTTGAACTGTGGTGTTGGAGAAGACTCTTGAGAGTCCCTTGGACTTCAAGGAGATCAAACCAGTCCATCCTAAAGGAGATCTGTTCTGAATATTCATTGGAAGGACTGACATTGAAACACTAATATTTTGGCCACCTGATGTGAAGAACTGACTCATTGGAAAAGACCCTGGTACTGGGAAAGATTGAAAGCAGGAGGGGAATGGGGCAACAGAGGATGAGATGGTTGGATGGCATCACTGACTCAATGGACATGAGTGTGAGTAAGTTCTGGGAGTTGGTGACGGACAGGGAGGCCTGGCGTGCTGCAGTCCATGCAGCACAAATCGCAAAAAGAGTCGGACGCGACTGAGTGACTGAACTAAACTGAGAGGAGACTAGTTTTCTATGAGTGGGGCAGAGAAAGATGATACTAATATTTGTGTACATTCTATTGTGAAGCATTTGATGCTGTACTGTAGTTCTTTGCTGATTATCCTCACATGAGGTTCTTGTCCCTATTTTATAGACATGAAAATCAAGTCTGGGAAAGACTGAACAACAAGCCTATGATCTCACAGCGGGAAGTGGCAGAGCTGAGGCTCAAACCTAAGTCAGTCTGATCTCAAATTCTGCAAGTGCTGTTGAAGCTGGTATGTTTGTACCTGGTTGAAATTGGCCTATATATTAGGCACATAGGATATAAGTAGTAAATATCCATGTAACATATGATTAACATTGTGTAACCTGATCCACACTTGAGGATGCCTCTACTTAAAGATTATCATCTGTCATTTTCCTTGGTGGCTCAGCAGTAACGAATCTGCCTGCCAATGCAGGAGATGTAGGTTCTATCCCTAGGTTGGGAAGATCCTCTTGGGGAAGAAAATGGCAATGCACTCCAGTACTCTTGCCTGGAAAATTCCATGGACAGAGGAGCCTGGCGGGCTACAGTCCATGGGGTTGCAAAAGAGTCAGACGTGACTTAGAGACTAAACATACGTGAAACGTGAAATATAGTCACCACAAGCAAAGAGGTCTTTGGATGGCTCAGCCAAACCCAAGAGAAGTCTGGAAGCTGTGTTAGCAGTCCACAGCAGCACTGTGTCCCTGACTTTGTCATCTCT